CCACAGTTCTCCTTAGCCTCATCTTGCTAAAAGCAGAGGAGGATATTGGGATGCAAATAAGATAGGGGAAGGGCTCTTTGCCAACTGCTGTTTATTGAACTGAGTAAATGTCTCCTCCATGGGTTGGAGAGAGCTGGTTCATATAAGTGGGCAGGAAAAGCCAGTGTTCTTCCAAGTGATGAGGTTTCTTAAATAAATACTCCAAATGTAGATTGTCTGGGCTCCATCAATGAGAGACAAGCCTGAAAAGTCCCCCCCAGTATCCCGGAGCCCTGGTTGGGAAAGGCTCTGTTTTGAAACTGGAAACTGTCCATTTTGGATGGGAGAATGCTTAGAATGGAAGCTATGCTATGATTTGTCTTTTTAACATTTTTGACAGAAAAGGAGTGTTAAGGAAGCAGGATGACTACAGTTACAGGGGATTTATTTACAGCTCCTAAGACAATTCTTTTATTTTTTTCACAATTCAGACATAAACACTATGCTAACAGCAAAGTATCTATACCTACTCATAAGAAAAATTCTTTAAGGATGCATATTAGTCAACATGTTCAAAATACTTATTAAAAACACTTCATAATATAAACAACATAGTATATTAAAATGTTCTACAATTCAGACTTTAAAGTGATTTGGAGTCATCTCACTCCACCTCCAGTTAATGAGATTTTACTGTTTATTTGTTAGCTACATCAAATAGAAAGAAAGAAAAAAAAAAAACCCAACCTTTTTGATAGGTGATAATTACTTAAAATTTGGATCCAAATTAAGAGAACAGAGCTCATTAAAATATGGATGTATTAATACTGGTATTTATAAGAATGGGAGAGAAGGTATAAGAATGATGGAGTAAGAAATTTTAAAAGAGGGGAAATAGGATAAATTCAGTCAAAACAAGAAAGCCAAGGTGTTTAAATGGGTGAGCCTCTCATTTTAATGTTTATTTGATAGAAATTTGAGATTTTCTATTTACTCATTTCAAACCAAGATAAAAATCTGAAGTATTTAGAGCAACCTATTTTCAGTCTAGTTTGTGTTCAAATTATTATTATTATTATTAAAGACAGGGTCTCCCTTTGTTGCCGAGGCTGGTCTCAAACTCCTGGGCTCAAGGGATAGCCCTGCCTCAGCCTCCAGAGTAGCTGGTATTACAGGTGTGAACTACCACACTAAGCATGAAATTGTTATTTTTAAAATATATATAAATCAAAAATAGTTTAAAAGTGATTTTAATGTTACTTCTTTCCTTCTCTTCCTGGCATCACAAAATGATTAATGTTAAAATTAGTGTTCTGCTACTGACTGGATCCTGCATGTTTATTTTTTCCCTCTAATGTGAACACTTGTTGGTAGTATAGAATATAGTCACTTTCAGTTCTGACAGTTGACGTAAGATAATTTTATAAGTGTTTAATCACATACTTTGTGCATGTAGGAGGGTTATGGCTTAGAGTTATTTTGGTGTTCTCTTTGGATGTTACCATTTTTATTTTATAACTAACCTTATGTTTGTTACCGATAATGTTTTACTTATTCCAGAACCACTTTGGCCTTCTTTGGTTTACTGTAATGCCAAGCACAGTTACATTGTGAGTAAGATTTGTGAGAAAGATTATAGTTTTGTTAATTACTCTCATAAATAATTGTATTATGAGAGTAATTCTAAAAGCCATACCTGAAAATATCACATTAAAACATCATTAGTTTATTATACCCATGTAACACTTAGCTTTTCATAAACCAAGAAGCAGTTAGAGTTGGCTTATACGATATTTTTTTAGAAGATATTAAATTGTACAGGATGCTAATAATTTTAAAAGCTGCAAATGTTGTTACTAATGATCAAACCGAAAGAAATTATGTTATTTCAAACATGACTGCCTTTCTGATCCTTCTGGACAGGACCATGTAACGATAATATCTAGATCTAATCTCAAATCTCAAGGTCTTAAATTGTTACTTCACTTTGGTTTAATATTTTATCTTAAAAATGGTTATTCATCAAGTATTCATTAAATGCTAACTGTATTTACAACATTCTGTGAGGAGCTGTAGGGTTACAAAGTATATGACAAATTCCTTAGATATAGTATATAAAAATCACAGGTGGAATTTTATAATTAATATCTCTGTTCTCTGCCTTACTACTGGACTGGGTTTTAGGACTAACCTCCATCCCTGCTCTACTTTTCTACCTTAAGATTTAGGTAAATCTATATTCCAATAATCACATTGCTGGAATCTAAGATGGATTTCCTCATCAGGCCTACATTTTTTCTAAAGATTTTGAAAGACACTCTCAGTCTTCAACTGCATATTGAGCACCTTCACTGTGGCATGCCTTAGGAACTGGAGGTCATAGTCCTTTTCATTGTGGACTTTTCATCCTGGACTTTTACAGTCTAGGGTAGAACGGATGTTAAACATATACTTGTCAATATGTAATCCTAAGTTTGGAAAGTCCAGAAAAAAATGTAGGGGGGTTAGGAGAATGTGTCTTACCCAAGGAGTATATAAGAATTTTGACATTAGGAAAGCTAGACAGGAGATACAAGCAAAAAGCCCCACCCTGTGTGAAGACATGGAGATCGGAGAGAATGCAGTGCATTGCAGCAACTGAGAGGATCCCACCCACCATGGCTGGGCAAGAGGCTGTGAAGGAAGCCTGGTGAGAGCGGCCAAGGCTTCAGGTAAAAGCCAGACCATACAGGACCTTATACTTAATGGTGACGACTTTAAGGAAAAGACATGATCAAGTTTTCATTTTATAAATATTGCCCTCAGCATAATGTGATAAAGGGTTTGGAGGGGCCATATGGATTTTGATGAGACCAGTTAGGAGGACTTTGTTGCAGTCTAAGTGATTGTAGGGTGGGAGAGAAGTGTACAGGTAAAGGTATTTTGAAAGTGGGAGTAATAGGGTTTGCTACTAGATTTAGGGGGACTTAGTGAGAGGGAAGGATGAGAGATGCTTCCTGAGTACATGGTTTTAACTGTAACATTTAAAAGATAAGGAACATTTAAGTTGGATTTTTTTAGGCCCTTGCCTCCATGAGGATTTAAAAACAAATTTGCAAATTACTTTTTCCTTACAGTTTACATAATCCTGTTTTAGGCAACATGGTTATATATTCTTTTATATTTTTTCCCATAATGATGTCACTTTATGATTTAAGGCATGTGTTTATGTACATATGCATTTGTTTAAAATGTGGTCATTTAAAATTTGGTTCTAAACAACTGGGTCTTTACCCCAGGCCCCTTTCTATATTGATTCTCCTTTAACTTCCTTGAATGATAATCTTTGCTATTTTTGAAGTTCTTTGTCTATTCACTTTCTCTTCCTTAGACTGTGTATGAATGGATAGCTACACATACTCACCCACACAGATAGTTTACTTTAAATTGCAGCGAGCTGATGTATAATAAAATATGAAGAAACAAAGAAATATTTTAAAAATTGTTATATTTTCTTTCATGGTTTGTCTTAGAAAATGAACACATACCAGTGAGTTGAGAACTGAGATTTTTTTTCTGTTGTGAGAATAGCAAAAGCTTTACAATGTGACTGCTTACTAATGTCAGAAAAATAGCAATTCAGCTCTTACTTTCTCCCCTATACTTTCAGGGCATTATGACAGTTTTAATGTGAGTTGTAAAATGTAGGGAGGTATACTCTTAATTCTTTTTCATGCACATAAATCAAGTTTTAGGATCTTTTGGAAATGTTTACTAGAAAAAACATCATGGGCAGATTTTAAAATGCTTTTGGATTGCATGGCGGCATGGTGCCACTTCCATTGAAGTCTTGTAATATTTTATTTTCCTTCCCAAAGAGTCAAGATAAATCCTGTAAACATTTTTTCTCCTCTTCTTGTTTCGGTTGTACTATTGTGTTTGGCTCTAGCCTTTTGCCCCCTGGGAAACAAAAGTGTTTTTTCACTTCGTTGCTCCCGCTGAGTACTCCAGCTGTTGGGCAGCAGTTTCAAAGTTGTTCCCTATTTATACATTGCAAGTCTGGCTGATCACAAAGGTTCCTATATGTTATCTGAAGCACAATATACTAATTTCAGGCATATATTTTGAAGGAAAATTGTTGTCAAAATTTACGAAAATGGAGCTAATTTTATCTTTTAAATTTAAAATCTAGTTTAACTATATCATTATATCCTTAAAAAATGGTTATGGTGAACATCAGCATAACATGTAATCTTATAAAAATAAAGCAAATTTATCAATTAGCCAAGTTCAAGAAACTACGCCTTTTTTTTTTCCTTTTTCCTTTTCTTTTTTTTTTTTTTTTTTTTAAAGATACAGGGTCTTGCTATGCTGCTCAGGCTGGAGTCCAGTGGCTGTTTACAGTTGAGGTCATTGTTCGTTGCAGCCTCAAATTCCTGGGCTTAAGGGATCCTCCTGCCTCAGCCTCCCAAGTAGATGGACTACAGACACCTGTTCTAGTAACTACTCTTTATCTATTTAACATTAACAAATGTGGTAAAACACTAGCGTGTAGCAGGCACTATGTTAGTCTTCGTTTAGGTTTTGCCCTCTAGGAGCTTCAGTCGGTTTGGAGAAATGTTCATGTCGATAAATGTTACAACTCACATAGGAATGAAGTGCTTAGAGAAGACAGATGACAGTTACTGGCTGTATCTGGAGAAGTTGGATAAAGTATCATAGATGAGGGTATAGTTACCTTGGGAGTTTCCAGATGAAGAGATGGAGGAAATGTACCTTGATGACACCAAGTCACCCAATGTGCTTGGTTACCATATGGCTCAAATAAAGCACTTGGATTTGGTGATTTCTAAACTCTCTTCTAGTTCTATGAATTGACCACAGTGTAAGTATAGTTGTGTGTGTGGGGAGGGGGAGGGAAGGGAAGTGCTTGAGATGTTCATATGTAATAAATTTTTAAAAATTGTTTTAGTGTTTTTAATTTCTAGTTTTTAGTGAATTTTGGTAAATAGAATTTGCTCTTGGGAAAAAGTAAAGGAGGTGAATGCTGGTTTTCTTTTGCAGCAGAAATAGTCAGCTCATTCATTCATTTAACATATATTGTTGAGTGCCTAGCATGTACTAGATATTGTTAGAGAGCAGTAAAAATACATATTCTGGCTTCTAAAATGCTTTCATGTTGTGGCACATGGGACACCACACTCTGGATTGGGGGAGAATTTGGGGTATGGGTTGCTACAAAAATTAGCAAACATCAGTCTCTCCTGCCCTCTCCAAAAAGCATGAGGGGGCTATCTAATAGAAGGGGGAAAGTGGGTCTAGGCTTGGAATGGCTAGGTGGAAAGTGTGCTAGCAGGGGGTTTTTGAAAGGCAAGGGTTTCCATATGCAAAGATGGGGAGATGGGGCGTTTCAGATGAAGAGAAAACTTAAGACTATTTTCAGGCCAAACAGTCTAACTTGAAGGATGGATTATATTCAATAGAGTAGGAGGAATGACTTAGATACTGAGCATGAAAATAATAACAGCTATGATCTTGTCCTCATGCCAGGGGCTGTGGCAAGTGAATTTACTTATTAAATTCCTCAAAAATCCCATAAAATAAATATTATTGTGTCTCTATGTTATAGCTTCTTGAGGGGCCCCATGAGTAGTAAATGACAAATAGGTTTCAAACACAGGTCTGTCTGATATAGAAATACTTGATCTCAACCACCATAATATATTGGAATTTTTGTTTTTGGATGGTTAGGCTACAAGGTACTGTTGAAAATTTTGAGTAGGCAATTGCTTAAATGTGTACAATGTAACAGTATGATAAATTCCATAATAGTGTTAGATTTGGGGTATTCTGGGAACATACTGAAGAGGCAAACTACTCAGTTGGGGGTGGATGGATGGAATTTGCCCAGGAAGTGATATCAGCATTGAGACCCGAAGTTATTGAGCATTGAGATACAGCAGTTATCAGGACAAGATAGAGTCAATGAGGAGGGTTTTCTTGGTAGAGAGGGCAACATGCGAAGAGCCCAGAAGTAAAGCAGTAGGAGTTGCTACTGGTATCTTTGAAGATTCTGTAATACAGATGAATGTGGCAATTTGTGGGTATTATGAAGGGAATGATGACTTTATCTGGGAGGCAACCTGATGATGTGGAAGGGTTTTAGGCAGGTAGGCAGGGGAATGATAGGATCAGACTTCCACAATTAGAAGATTTTGTGAAATTCATTTAAACAAATGTGAACAGTAGTGAATCAATTCCCAGGGGAAGTTTCATTGCCAGGTATTCTTCCTGCCTTGAAGATTAGCTTGTTAGTTACCAAGCAGCTTTTGTTTTTAGTGTCTATGCTTGTGGTTGGTAACTTTTGCTATACTTGTTCTTCTGCTGTCCGCCATTCCATTCTCCATCTGTCACTCACACAGAACCCTAGCCAGGATCATAAAGGGTGATTGAAAAGGTAACAAGAGAAAAGAAATGATAGATTAACATAAGCCTGATATTTGTTTCAGTGGCAGATTTTGGTGTTCACATGAGTATCTGAGCCTGTCTAAATTAATCTTATGCTCTCACCACAGTCTTTTAGCTCGGGAATTGACCGCAGGTAAAATAATTGGAAATTATTGGTATAGCCGAAACTGCATTACAGCTGCCAAGTGTGCATACACGGGAGCCAGGCTTCTTTTGTCTGCTTCCTCATAAACATTCTTTCCGCATTCTTTATCAGCACATAATCCTGAGACAGAAAAAGCCTTTGTTTCCCACTGGGAATGTGAGAAAATCAAAGCTATCTATTGGTTTTGGTCCTGGTTAGGAACCACTAACATTTCTATATTAACCACCTAGGTTTTGAATTGAGACAGATGTTATCAGCAAGATATGTCCTCCATTTTCCCCAAAGATATTATCCCAGTACAAGAAATCTTAAAGACAGACTACAAATGTCTATTTTCATCTACCTGATGCTGTGATTTATGGATACTTGTTAGACATATAAATTTAATGGAGCTTAGTTTAATAGTAAGCAATTGTGTAGAACTTCCCATGTGCCAGGCATTTGATGTATATTAATACATCTAATCATCACCACAGTCATGTGAGGTAGCTATTATTGTTTTATACTGTTTGTTATACACTGAAATGTATTCCCCAAAATTCTTATGTTGAAGCCCTAACCCCTAGTGTGATTGTATTTGGAAATAGGGCCTTTAAAGAGGTAATTAAGGTTAAACGATGTCATGAGAGTGGAACCCTAATCTACTATGACTGATGGCCTTCTTAAAAAAAGAAAGAGACTCCAAGAATGTGTGTTCACAGAAATAAAGACAGAAGACCAGAAGGTGGCTCTCCAGAATTCAAGGCGAGTTCTCAGGAGAAACCAGACTTGTTGGTATCTGAAACTACGAGAAAATTAATTAATGTTTTAAGCCTTCAAGTCTGCAGTATTTTGCTATGTTGGCCCTGGTATACTAATACATACACATTTTGCTATGTAGGAAAATGAAGGCAGAGAGATTGAGTGACTGGCCCAAGGTCACACGGCTAGAAAATGACAGAATTAAGATTCACATATGGAGAGTGTGATTATGGAATCAATGCTGTTAATCACCATGCTGTACTGCTTCTCATGAAGATAGAGCTTTCCAGCATTGGGGCCAGGGTGGTATGACCATATACCTCTGGTGTTTCCCCTCCTCTTATTTTCTGTATCCAGCCCTCTGCATTCTAGTGTATAATACTTATGGACTATTTACCTTGGGCTATACTATGTAGGAATGATGCATCTGCAGGATCCCTTACTCTTGTCATGGTTGGCAGTTTGCTCTGGCTTGAGCAATTTCATGGCTCAGAATGAGTAGGGTCAGCAAACACCGTTAACATTCTTCTTGTCATGAATTAACTTTTCAAATAACAGCAAAACTCAGCTTCATTTTTCCCCCCTTTTTAGTCTCCTTGATTCAGTTAAAGAATGTTTTTTAGTCTATTCTTGCCTGTCGTATTTTGAAAAAGGTATTTTGTGAAAGGACAGGAAGAAAGAAAGAGGAGAGAAGAGCAGTTGTTTCAATTAAAGTGACAATGTAAACACCTATGATTAGTGTGATGAATTGAGCACTTTTTAATTACTTAAATATGTTTAATATGTTACATGTTTTCAAACAGTCTTTAAAATGTAGTAGCGTTTTTTCTGTAGACACTTAAACCTCAGCAAACCTGAAGAAATGATACAGTTGTAAAATGCAGTACAATGACCTTCGAGGGTGAGTAAGTGTGGGAAGCTTTCCTGAAAATGCAGATGTAGAATGGATTATATTGTATACATATCTACATTGGGGTTGATCTGGGAAATTATAAAAAGTTCATTTCTGTGCTCATTAAACATTTCCTACAAATTTGAAATTGTGTCAGTTGTATAGGAAAACAAAACTTATAATGCATACATGGACTCCTTTCCTGATCCTCCTTTTAATGATGGAATTAAACGAAAAGCAGACAGTGTATACAGGGTCATAGGCCTTTCATGTAGTGTAATTTAGTACAGATACATAGGCACAGACAAAAAGAATAAAATTAGATTTTATATTTTCCTTAATTTTATATGACTAAGAGCATTATCAGAGAAGTATTGTTTAATTTCTGAAACCATGTTACTATCACTTTAGTTATTATGATTCAGGCCTGAGTATATGTATCATTTCCAAGTGAAGTTTGCTCCCAGCTCATGGATCAACACATTATCTGTTCTGTGTGCAGGACTCTTCCCAGGATAAGATGAAACAGGATTGAGTTTTACTCTTAACTGTGAAAATAAACATAAACTGCCTGTGGAATGATTTATGCAGTTTTTTTTTCCATCATGGAACCAATTTGTTATCTATTTCTGCATATAATTTCAGTAGAAAATATGTTCCATATTCAAAATAAAATATTTCTCCTTATGTATTACTTTATTTAGTACCTGAAGGTGCACTCCTCAACTTATGGCACTAGTATTGATTGCTGTGGAAATATTTTCAGAACTCAAGTTTATGATTTGTAGAAAGTGTACCAGGGAATCACATGAATTATTAATTTTTTTTACGTATGCATTTTTCTCCTGCCTATTCATGGTAAAAATAAAGAAGTGTAAATTATGAGAAAAAGATTATTTTAATATACGGTAGAGTTTTTTTCCTTTCCTATTAGAGATCAGTGGCTTTATAGCTTAATGTAGTTTTTTTATGTGAGTAAACTTATCCTAGTTTTAAAACACTCTATTTGTTTGTACAAGCTGAAAAAATATTTATTGCATTTTCTTCATAGTTGAAATTCACTTTTAAGAATTCCCTTTAGATTTCATAGAATTAAATGACATTTAAATTTATTTATTGCAAAACATCAGTGCAATTATGCCAACTTACGTACGATGCTTTTCTTCTTGAACCATATGCCTTTACTACCTACTCCCAGAAATGCTGAATATGGGCTGCTTATTGGCAAAACTAACTGGAAATATGGAGGTTTTGCTCTGAGTGCACTAATAAGCAATTTTAGCATGTAATTATCCAGCATATTCAATAAGAAAGGTGAGGTGGAACCCTTATTTCAAAGAAAATTATCTGCTTTTGTTTATGTTAGAAATAGCATATTCTATTGGCCCCTAGAGAGTAGGCATCTGGCTGTGGATGCCCAGTACTATTCTCCATTCTGATAACAGCATCCAGATTTTGCTTTGGGAGTTGTGATGGTTAATATTGAGTGGCAACTTGATTGGATTGAAGGATGCAAAGTATTTTTTGTTACCGGGTATGTCTTTGAGGGTGTTGCCGAAGCAGATTAACGTTTGAGTCAGTGGATTGGGAGAGGTAAACCATACATATCGGTGGGCACCATCTAATCAGCTGCCAGCGTGGCTAGAATAAAGCAGGCAGAAGAAAGCGGGATTACAGACTTGCTGAATTTTCTGGCCTTCATCTTTGTCCCGTGCTGGATGCTTCCTGCCCTTGGACATCCGTCTCCAAGTTCTTCAGCCTTTGGACTCTTGGACTTACACCAGTGATTTGCCAGGGTCTCTCAGACCTGTGGCCACATACTGAAGGATGTACTGTTGGCTTCCCTACTTTTGAGGTTTTGGGACTTGGGCTGAATTCCATGCTTCTCAGCTTCTCAAGGGCCTACTGTGGGGCTTCACCTTATGACTGTGTGAATTAATACTCGTTAGTAAACTCCTCTTAATATATACAATTATCCTATTAGTTCTTTTCCCCTAGAGAACCCTAATACGGGAATCTATACCTCATTGAGTGCAGTTTTGGAGGCAGAAAGGTTTGATACCTTTTCTTACTGGTGATAAGGGTGTCATCCGTCACTCCTATTACAAAAGACAGGTTAACAAGAGAAAATCATAACAAATTTATTTAATCAAGCTTTATGTGACTTGGGAGTCTTCAGAAATGAAAACCTAAAGACCCAGGGAAAACTTTATTTTTATGCTTAGGATTGATGAGGAATGGACACTCCCCCATCACTCTGTTACTGTTAGATCATTTCCTTTTGTGAAAACCTGTCTGTCCTTCTTCTTGACCTTTCTGTGTAGTATTGCTTCTTTTGGGGTATGCTGTAGGGCCCCTCTGGAATGAGGTTTTTTAGGGGAGGATGGAGAAGGGAGAGGGAAAGCCATCCTCTCAGAGGTAGTGAACATTGTAAAATTTAAAATATGAGCACTCACGGCATGCAGCTTTCCTGTCATGTCAAGCAAGCAGTAGAAGAGAGGGAGAGGAACTGGAGTGCTCTGCCATGTTAAAATTCCCTGGTTCAGTTGTTGTTGAGAGCTAGCTGCTTTCTTGTGTATCTTGCAGTTTAATTATTCAACATTTCCTTTGATTCCACAAGTCAATACATTTCTTTTTTCTGAGCAAGTTTGAGTTCAATTTCTGTCACAACCAAAGTGATATCTATGTCAATTAGATATTTTTTCTGTGTTCATATTCATAAATTATTTCTCTCTCTCCCTCTCTCTTCTTCTTTTTCTCTTTTTCTTTCAGGATCTGGCTCTGTCACCCAGGCTGGAGTGCAGTGGCATGATCTCAGCTCACTGCAGCCTTCACCTCGGTCTACCAAGTACATGGATGCCACAGGCTTGTGCCACCTCGCCTGGCTGATTTTTGTATTTTTTTGTAGACAGGGTTTCTCCATGTTGCCCAGGCTGGTCCCAATTCCTGAGCTCAAGTAATCCTTCGGTCTTGGCCTCCCAAAGTGCTGGGATTACAGGCTTGAACCACCTTGCCTGGCCATATTCATAAATTATTTCAATAATTATCAGAGTATAGACAGAGTTTTTTTTTCTGCTTTTTGGAAGTAATACATTCAATAGACACATGATTATTTCCCTAAACTTTTTCTTTATGGTTGTCATAAAAAGTCTGTATGTTAATTAATGTCATAGTTAGTTTACCACTTTGCCCATGTTACTTAAATACTTAGGTTTTCTGTCACCCTTTATTAGTTTTTTTTTTTTTTTTTAGAAAAAATTAAAAATAACAGAATTTTGTGCATTTTTAGTAGTACTGTGTGGGTTAATTTCTAACAGCTGGATTATTGATAACGGATGAAGCTATTTAATGAACATACATTTTAGAATTCAAATAAAATTGAACACAAATGTAAACTCTTCCAGTCACTACTTAAGTGGCATTAGTTAGACAATTGTTTACTTCTTGGTCAAAATGAGTATAGCTTATCTTCTGGCTTTGTTACAAAAATGAAATGAAAAGAGGGTATGTAGATTTAAAAAAGTGTATTTATCACCCAAGAAAGACGTTTCTACAAGTATTTTCATAGAATCAGACATTGTTTGTGTCTGATTATTAGTATTTATTACTTAATAACATATTTCCAGCACAAGCACCATTCTGTTTATTCTTGGACCTTGTCAACATCCCTCTTCTGCTTGGAAATCCTTTCTTTGGTGGTGATTACCTTCAATCTTAGTCCCGTTAGAATAGCTACTCCATTGTTCTTCCATAGGCTCTTCCTTCCTTTACTAGCATTCCTCAAGGGGGACAGCAACTGTGTAAAATAGTTCTCTTTCCTTTTACTTCATTTTAGTTATCATAGCAACACACATGAGACACATTATCTCTGTGTCTCTTCATGACTGGGAACTTGCCTTTGTAATAACAGTGATTGTTATGTATCAGGCATTATCTGTTTGTGCCTGTGCATGCATTTTCAATGAATGATTTACTAGATAAATCATTTTAATGATATAAATCTCTATAAGGTTACATTGGTATGGGAACCAGGAAAGTTTTCCCTTCACTCTGTTTTTTGTTTCAACCAGTGAAAGAAGTGGTTGAAAATCTGGTGGCAGCAGAACTATTTGAAGATTAAATAGCACAATAGCTGGTTACTTGTTTAGAACCTGATGATAAATTTGTGATGTGTACTAATATAACAAATTGTTCTAAATTTAAAATGTCATTACTTAGTGATTTTAAAAGTGATTATGGGTTGATTGCAACAAAGTCACGGGTTAACATTTTTATAGACTACTAGGTATTTCTGATAATTTTCCTAATCATATAGTTGAATTGTAATTATATAGCTTGTATTTATTTGTGGGTAGCATTAAAATTTCATATAATTTACATTTGGTATATGGACGACCTCATTTTTCCTTTTCATTGTGGGTTCAGAGACCTCACTCTAATGCATTTGATCCCATGTGCCTCCTATTGAGACTGTCTGCTTGTTAAATGGAAATTTAATTTTTATGAGGTTTGTATGTGTTTTGCAGCAAATTAAAATTATAGTGCTTAGAGTTGTGGATTTGATTTGTGTCTTCTGAAAGGAAAATAAACTGTTGAGTTTAAAAATGTGATTTGATTTGAACAAACTGTGCTAATTAAATTTATTTTTGAGGACACTATTAGCAGAAAAAATACAAATTGGTGCAATTTTCCATTGCATCATTTTGTATTTCAGAAGTATAATTCAATATTTTCTCAACACTTTGTTTTTAAAATAAAGCATTAACAAAATTTACAAGTGACTTAATTGTGTTTTAAAAGTTTACTTTATAAAAGATTAGTCAGGATATGGTTTCTTCTCTAGTTTACTTCTAACCATGGGAACAAATATATGTAAGTATTGTCACTTGATAACTGGCTCAACAACAATGAAATTAGCATCACAAACTCAGACTTATTCAAATTTGTTGAAGCTAGTATAAAGCCTCTAGGTAGAATTTTATGAAGGTTAATAATTTACTTTAAAATTTAAGATTACAAACAGGATTGAAATTAACCTTTAGCAAGCATTACTTTTTCAAAATAGTTATAATTTTACTGTTAGGAATTTAAAAATCTTGCTAAGCATTTATCATTAAGGGTTCTAGAGAAGGAAGTAAAAAGAAGGGTTGGTGATTCTTAAACCCACTATTTTTGAGAAAACATATGTTTGCTAAAAGATCACTACTCATTAAATGTACTTTAATATGTCTTCAGCATAATATAGGACCAATGGTGATGAATACATTCATTAATACCAAATGAGAAAAAACAAGGGGTTTTTGTTTGTTTTATTTGATAAACATGGTAACCATAAAGTGTATATCTAGGATTTATCAGTTAATTATATTTGAAGGGCACTTTGGTCAGTAGCTAGGATGTGTTTGAGGAATCAAGGGAAATTAGGGCTGCATAACAGAACCACGAAGAGGGGAAAATACATTGGAAAGGAAATGACTGACCCTGGAAATTATTAGGACATCCTGCCCAGGATGTCATTACTAAATCTGTGTTCCGTTATTTTTATAAAAAGATACCATCTATACACACCAGAGGACAATGGCAAGCAGACATAATTGGGCTGTAGACATTTCATATCATGTTAGTCTAGTACTTTTAATTAGAGTTTCAGTTTAATTATAGTATAATTCCAAACTAGCTGCAGGCACTGAGTATCTAATGAGGGAGTGCAGAGATTTTATTTAGGACAGGTTGGTTCTTCATATCAAGGGATAGCCATGATTGGGTGCAAAATTACATTGAATGCATTGTGTAATGTCTGTGACCTGAGATTATGGAAACCTGTGAGTTCCTTTAGTCACATCAGAGTTCCATTACTATGTTTTCTTATCTTCTCTTGTTCGCCTTATCAATACATAATTATTCAGTAAGAGAGTCAGGTTCAATATTACTACACTTAACCTAGGCGAATTTGTAATATCAGAGGGAGAAGAAGATGAAAAGGGAAAGGAAATGAAAAATAAAAATTAGTATTATTTTTAAATTAAATTATTTATATAAGAAACATGCTGCTTTTTGCTTTTAAACACACAAAGTAGCAGATGTAAATGAATTAATAGGATAAAGCAAGTTGCTAGAAAAAAAGTACCTCTTTTTTTTTTTTTTTTTTTGAGACGGAGTTTCGCTCTTGTTACCCAGGCTGGAGTGCAATGGCGCAATCTCGGCTCACCGCAACCTCCGCCTCCTGGGTTCAGGCAATTCTCCTGCCTCAGCCTCCTGAGTAGCTGGGATTACAGGCACGCGCCACCATGCCCAGCTAATTTTTTGTATTTTTAGTAGAGACGGGGTTTCACCATGTTGACCAGGATGGTCTCGATCTCCTGACCTCGTGATCCACCCGCCTCGGCCTCCCAAAGTGCTGGGATTACAGGCTTGAGCCACCGCGCCCGGCAGTACCTCTTATAGGAAGTAAAATCAGAATTATATTATTATTGAATTACATTATTTTAATGAAAGACATGCTGCCTTTTTGCTTTTAAACATTCCGAGTGGTAGAAAACGAGATGTAAATAAGTATGCTGGATAAAAAATGTTGTAGAAAAAAATACGACTCTTGTGGGCCTTGATAATGTAACAAAGTATTACTTTGCTCAAACTTTTGAAAATAAATAGGTAAGTTGCTGGGCCCAGTGTTGGTGGCATTAGTACACTGTTGAGCACTTATGTCTAAATATTTAATAGACATTCAGATTAGTAAAATTTTAATTTAATTAAGAATCGTGCATCTAAGGAAGTTAGCCCTCAGTTGGCTCAGCTAAGAAAAAAGGATGATGTTGATGCATCAAGTGGTTTTATGAACAGGATATCACCTGGCTCCTCCTTGCTCTGACATCATTTGTTGTTGTCTGGAATAATGAGAACTCTTCATTGGCTTAATGCCTTTGCTTGCAAGAGACAGATGCTATCTGATCCCTCCTGTCAGAAGAATTCCCAGAATAAGCCATTCAACCAAGAACAATCGGTGTCCTGTTGAGTGCAAACAGAAGAAGAGGGAATTCTCTGTATTTCCCAGCACCTTGCTTTTTCAGTTGGTGTGTGTTCATCAGCAGCAGAAACTGTTCACTGACTGTCGAGCTGAAGTGGCACATGGGTGGCTTGTGAGGCGCTTTTCTGTGATTTGGCTGTTACTACTTTGAGTTAACTGTTCACTGTCTAAGATGTCCACATTACTAGTTTACTTTTAGCCTTTCCGTTGAGCCTATTTTCTAAAGTGTGTTTCTATTCCCCTCTTCTGGTGTATACATTATATTTGAAACACGTCTCTGTTTCTAGTCCTTCTCTTCTTTCTCCACCTCCTTTTCCTTCTCGTCTTATGACCACATCTAATTCACAGGCAGAGTTTTCTTAAAGACTGCTCCCATTTCAGAGTAGCTTAAGCAATACATTGTGGCTAAGAACAAATATATTACAGTGCAATATGAACTATAAGAAAATGTAGAAAGAGATGCAACTCTGAAATGTACTTCCAAATTCACTGTAGGCTTGGGTGGATATTACATGTGCTGCCTATTTCACTTATATTTCACCTCTTAAAAGGTCTGGGAATGTTTTCCAACATCATTCAGCACAGTTCTAGGTCTCATCAGGGCTGGCACAGTCAATTTTCTTGTTTGAACTGCTAGGAGCAAGTGCTAAAAACAAACAACTAAAAAGAAACAGTGTAAATTGCTAATTTGTGCTACTGCCTGAAATCCATGCAAACAGGATTCATTCATTAGTTCTTATTTATTTTGGGGATAGCATATTTGGTTAGAACAAAAGTCAGTTCTGAGAAGAAAATGTCCAGTAACCAAACAGTCCATTTTAGAACCCCCCCTTGAGTTAGTTAGCAAGCCTTTTTTATGTGCTAGATTTTTGCAAAATGCTATCTATATAGTCCTAGAAAAGATAAAAGACCCATAAGACCCAGTTCTTTGAAGTATGTAAGTCTTGTTGGATTCTCTTAAAATGTACATTCATGAAAATTCTTGGTAGAGGATGAAGACTATCTATCAACAAGTTAGCAATATTATAATTTAAAATTATAATATTTTAAAACAGACTATCTCCAAGGCAACCGAAGAATGATATTGAATTGGGTCAAGAAAGAGGGAGGTAGATTTACAACTGGAGGAAAAGGATGTGGAAGGGATTCTTAATAAAGGAGGTCTTAATACCACAATCCTTGCAATGCAGTTACAGTATTGCATGGGGAAAGAGACATCATTATAATAGAAAAATAATGAACTACTTGGTCACTTAAAGAGTAAGTTTCCATTCATTTTTCTGATCTTAGTTTATCATCTCAAAATCTACATTGGTTAGTCTCTTGGGAGTTTTGCAAGTTGTAAACATCCATCGACATAAAGCAATTAAAACACAGAGCATTTGGCCTGCAAAAATGGCAAATATGAAAAAAAAAATACAGGATTTCATGTTCTAAATCTTGGCAGTGAGGTAAGGTAAGTGACCAGTTAACAGTTGAAACTAAATAATTGGCTATATATTTCATGTTAACATGTGAATAAAATTAAAGACTATGTATGAATGAAGAAAATACATTTCAAAATTACTTCAAAAGATAAGGTGTAATTTGAGCTTTTAATTTTTTTTTTCTCTCTGAAATTAGAATTGAAAATGCAAACCTGTTTGACTCTTTATGTGTTTTACAGCTTGTTCTCAGGGCTGTACTGTGTATAAAAGTAGAGGACTGTCCAAAGTATGGTATGTGTACCAATCTTATCAGTGGAGTTTAAAGTTATATTGGTAAGAGTGTGATAAAGAGTGACTGAGGGAAGAGGGATTTTAGTGATGAGTAATGATAAGTGAATTTGGAGAAGCAGTGAAAGTATTTTTAATGGCTTGAAT